GGGATCTTTGTCCATTTAAGTCACTGATATATCCCAATCACCTGTGCTAATTCCCTGCACATAATAGGTACTCAATACATGTTTGTTAAATGAATGAACAGTTTGTAATTTAGTCGATGTGTGTTATGGTATATGAATAGCTCTGTAAAACCCTCAGAGATTTAATCTAACTTTGGGTGGCTCTGCTATTCTAGGACTGATGCCTTCATAGGCACTTGTTAATGGAACCTCAACACATTTTTTTATGGATGGTGGTGACCGACAAATACTAAGTGTCTGTACTCCTCTGGAAGCAGTTTGTTACTCTCTCTTTTATTTGGGGCCTGTATATAGGCTTTGGAATTGTTCACTCAGTATCGGCCCAACCTTATTAAACTCCCATGTTCTTTGAGATCAGTGGTTTCCAAACATGACCATACATCAGAAATAGTGGAGGTGTTTGAACTTTAATACCATTTTTTAATAGTTACAATTACAGATTACTGGATTATACATTTGGAGAGTCAGACTCATTAGCATCGAGATAGAACCTGGAAATTCGTGTTTTTAACAAGATATTAATAATTCTGAAGCATGCAGTCATTGGAATGACATTTGGAAGCTACTGCTTTAGGCTTTCTGCTGTGAAAGAAAACAGGTAGATAGCAAGAACTTTCTAATAACTGGTCACTGCATTTCAAGTAATCTTCCTGTAATTAGTGATGCTTTCTCTCCAAAGCATGAAGAAAAGGGAGGTTTCTGGAAATGTAGGCTTACTTTTGGTATTCCTGTATTTGGGCTTCTGCCAGCTCACCACCCTCGCTCAGAGTTTGTATGACATTCCGTGGAAGTGTATTGACAATACCTTTCAGCTAAAACCATTAGTTTACCCCCTTCTCCCCACAAAAAAGAGTTTTACTCACCGCCATGCTCATTCTTTCTAACAATAATGAGTCAAAGTTATTTCTTATAAATATCATCACATATTTTGGGCACAACTGTGAAACATTTTGAATAGAGTATACTGTTCTATGTAGGTGGACTTGAAATAGTTTAAGAAAAATGACTGGGTCATTCATTTAATATTTGGTGACTTCCTACTAGAAGCTTCTTCATACTAGAATCTCACTACGGGATTGGAAAGACCAGGAGTTTTAGTTTCAGGCAGATCTGCATTTGACCCTTGATTTGACCTTTTATTGGCTATGTGATCTTGGACAGATTATTTAAACATCTTTAAATAGTAGCAGGGATGATGATAATTATCCTTTAGAGTATGAAGATCAAATGAAATGGTAACTCAGAAGAGCCTTGGCTAGATGCCATGGAGGAAGAATTAGGTGTATATAAAGCGGCCCTTTCCATCCAGGGTCTTTAATCATTGAAATAATTATTCACAAAATAACTTTTAAAAGATAGTGGTTGGGGAATATAACATAGTGATATAACCAAAGTGCTGGAATTTAAACACTTGTCTGTGTGGCATTTTTCACTGCATGTTTCTATAATACTGCCTATTGGAGTAGTACCAGGGAAATGGAAAGGAAAGATGAATATTGAGACATTGTAATGGAAGGAATGTTGGGAACAAAGCAGAGGGAAATGTCAAAGATGTCTCTATGGTTGAGCCTAGGGAATATGGAGAAGGATGGCACATTAATGTAAATAGGGAAATCAGGAGGTGGAGGAGGAGGAATTGTAAGAGAGGAACAGTGAATTCAGTTTTAGCCAGACTATTTTTTTCAGTTTGGCATAAACACTTTCAAATGCTATAAAGCTTACAGAATGAAGTCATTGCAGACTATGTAATACTTTTTGGAGTTTGGATCATAATGGCTGGGTAGATAATCAGGATGGTTTTCTAGGCTGTAAAAATAACATCCAAGACATAAAGCCAAGGATCTGAACAATATATGCAAGGGACAGTGAGTAGAACAGAAACAAAATGGCGAGAATGATAGAAAAACTAGGAAAGGGAAGGGAAGGAGGATAAGGGAAGTGAATGAGTATTTAGAAAGATGGAATGGACATAGAACATCAG